TTCATCTTGAGAGCGCCATTTGGTCAATCCAAACAGGCTATTACTAGCTCCTGTATCTTCAAGCGGCAATTCTCTGTAAGAGCACCTCTTGTGGGCAGCTGCCTAGAGCTCATTGTCTGTCCACCCCACATAAGTTCTACTGGAGTAGTGTCACAAGCTTGTACACCTTAGGATCCCATATAGAAAACAACCTAGATAATTACCTCCAAGGTAATGCACTTATTCATCAAAGTAAACATCCATTCTGTATCTGTTTCATTATTTCTTGGTTTCACTTCTCCATCTGTTTTGAAGGAGCATGATCCAAAGGCAATATTTAGCAAGCCCTTATATGTATCTCCTCTCAAAGCCGATATCTTCATTTGGTTCTCCTGGGCAATGCCCAGAGACTCAAGCTGAGGCAAGGAATGCTTGAAGCCAATCTCCATGCTGTGCTGGATGCCACAGATGGCATGGAGGTGCAGGTAGACAAAGGCATCATTAGAAGAAACATGTCCTACTAAGTTGGCTGTAGAGTTGCTGGTGAACAGTGACCCATTAACTGAAACTCTCACTGGATTCTAAATTAGAGAGAAAATATGTTGTCAATTTTGTTCCTTTGTAAAACCAGATCTTACTTCAAAGCAGACTCACTGGGAGGTCTGATTATTCACTGCACTGAATATAATGCAGCCATTTAATCTCATTTAATTGGTTGCAAAACACTATTGTCAGCACAAGAGGAGCATTTGAATTTTATATCCATTCCACAGATAGATAAATGGAGAATTGGGCCCCAAAAATGCCACGTTTCCCCACTCCCTTCAGAATAATAATAAAAGATGAAACTCAGATTTTCTTAAAACCAGGGTTAGCTCTACCAGTATAGGAAGCATGATATAGGCTCAAGTCTACTCTCAGATAGGTTCGATTCCCCATTAACTTCAAAGGAAATTACACCAGTAGTACCAGAGACTAGACCCACTCAAGGGCAAAACTGGGTCTAGTCTAGCTGCATTTCTTGTTTGTACCAGATAAGCATCAACAGAACCTTAGCTACTACCTTCTTCAAGGTAACTTTAGTTTCCCATCCATGTTGCCCACAGCAAACATATTTTAATTACATACTCAAAAAGATCTTGAATATATGGACTGTTCTTTTTGAACAGTTCAAGTTGTGTGGATGTCCACAGACAAGCTACCGAATAGGAAAGATGAAAGGAGAGCTTGTAGAAGAAAATTTCAACACCAAAAATTTCATAGTTTCATAGTTTGTAGGGTTGGAAGGGACCTTGACAGATCATCAAGTCCGACCCCCTGCCATGGCAGGAAAGAATGCTGGGGTCAAATGACCCCAGCAAGGTGTTCATCCAGCCTCCTCTTAAAGACCCCCAGGGTAGGAGCCAGCACCACTTTTCTTGGAAGTTGGTTCCAGATCCTAGCCGCCCTGACTGTGAAGTAGCGCCTCCTGATGTCTAGTCTAAATCTACCCCCTGCCAGCTTGTGACCATTATTTCTAGTCACTCCTGGTAGTGCTCGGAGGAACAGGGACTCCCGCAATGCCTGCTGGTCCCCCTTGACTAGTTTGTAACAGGCCACTAGATCCCCCCTCAGCCTTCTCTTGTGGAAGCTGAATAGGTTCAGGTCCCTTAGCCTCTCCTCATAGGGCCTGCCCTGCTGCCCCCTGATCACGTGGGTTGCCCTATTCCGGACACTCTCAATGCTGTCCACATCCCTCCTGAAGTGCGGTGCCCAGAACTGGATGCAGTACTCCAACTGCGGCGTGACCAGTGCCGCATAGAGGGGGAGGATCACCTCCTTGGACCTGCTTGAGATGCATCTGTGGATGCATGACAAGTTGCAGTTGGCCTTCCTGACCACAAACCCACACTGTCGACCCATGTTCATTTTGGCATCAATAATGACTCCAAGATCCTTTTCTGCCTCTGCACTGACAAGAAGGGAGTTCCCCAGCCTGTAGGTATGCTGCTGGTTCTTCCT